TCGCCAAAATTGTATGTGTATGACGTGGAATCTATTTATGAACTATTTTTACATATCAACTGTTTGTTAGCCGATCTTGCAGGACCATATTCTTTAAAAGTTTTTTGAGATTTTTCAATTTTTTTATTTTACAATTTTGTGATAAATTTTGAATTTATTGGGGTTGCCATAATCAGCATAACTCCTAATGAAATTGAATAAAAAAAATTAACAAAATAATGGTTATGGAAACCCTCACATATCAAAGCTTTTCGGAAATGGGCGAGAGTTTTTAAAGTTTTTATAAAAACCCAAAAGAATACGTTTAAATACGAAGGATATATATGGGAGCCATATCCAAATCTAGAGCGATCTCGATAAAATTTGACAATGGTATTTATGAGCTGTATTTGATATATTTCCCTGAACATCGTTGTTACGGACTGCATATTACATCTGTGGTGGGCAAAAAAAAACAAATCGAATGAACAATATATATGAAAGCTATTTCCACCAAATTCGACATACTTCTTTCTAGGTTCAATTTGGCCGAATGTGGCAAAGTTCATCCTATTTGCACAATAAAAAGTAAATCTTAAGAAGATATATTTACATTTTTGCCGATTATCATAAATTTCCATAGAGCTCGTCTTTGGGCCAAACAAAAGATTTGTTCAAAATTTCATTTCGATAGGGCTATAAACTTGACACGTCTCCTGAAAAATCAAAGTTAGATTTGATTGTGAATGTAGAATAAAGAATATCTAATTCATACAGACAATAAGGAGTTACTGTGATTCCGTGCAGAGAATAACTAGGAGACTCTGGAAAAAACTAACCATTCTGAGCTTAAAATATACATGAATGTCATTTGGATCGGGATAGATTAATTTTTTTTCACTAATGTTTTAGAATGTCGTTCAAAAATTGCGACGGTTCCGAATTTACAATTTTCTTAAAACTAAATTACCTCGACTACGAGATCGATGGCTGAGCGTATCGGAGAAATGCTAAGGGTGGAAATACATAAAGGTCATATTTGGCTGACTTAAGTCATCGGCTGGCTTCTTCGGAAAGGAACAAAGGAGCCTAGGATCAAAATCGAACTATGTCAACCTAAAACTCCTTTGTTCCTCTACGAAGAAGCCAGCCGATGACTTAAGCCAGCCAAATAAGCGCTTCATGTATTCCCAGCTTAATTGTCCATAAGAATAGATTTTTCTTATCTATATCATAAAGTTGACCTATATTGACAATTTAGATAAGTAAATCAAAATCGAATTTAAACACATAGGAAGAGCGAGATTCCCACTTGCTTTTAAGTTTTTTCAACCAAATTCCCTTCCATTTTTGAGAATATTCTTTCAATGAGGAAATTTTTACAAAATGTCATACAGTTAACTTTTAAATGATTTATATGTTAGAGTGCAAACTCAGCAACTAACCGAAATTTCCATTTTTTTATAAATATATTTTTTTAATTATATATGCTGAACTTCGGAATATTCAGAATTAGGAAGCACAGACTTATTATTTCTACTTTAATAATTTCTTTATAAGCAATTTCTACTGCATCAACTCGCTATAACAATATCGTTTATATCGACATATCTATTATAGCGACAAAGTTCAAAGTCCTGAATTTATCTCTTATGGACAACGGAAACATAATAGTTGGATACGATTATCAACAAAAATTGAACCAATTATTACAAAATGTTATTCGCTAACCCAAAATCCAGTGAGAGCAAGCGAGAAGTGCCCTTATAACAGTTTCGTTACTGAGACTGATGAATTCTTACTAGGAAAAATTTCTCACTAAGAATCATGGTAGAAGGTAAGGTAGATGCATTAACGCTTGGGAACAATGATATGTCAAAATTTTTTAAATGTATTTTCAAAAATAAGTAGATTTTTAATTTTCGGAGGTTGTTATAATATGCATTTTTTTCAACAATTTTTAGAAATTTTAATAATTTTTCATTCAATATTTTCAATTCGAAAATCGGTTTGACAGTTCATTGTCCCAGCAGCTGTGTTCTTCTACCATGCTAAGAATTATCCAGTATCATCAGGTGGTTGAAAATCAATTATTTATTTAAACATTTAAATTATTTTTTTAAATAATAAGCACTCGTATTGTATTATTATTGTATTATTAATAACTAATTGGTTTGATTCGATATTGCCATCAATTTAAAAGTTCAACGCATTCATTTTTTTGATATATTTGAACATTGATACATTTGAACGATGACATAAACCATTTAAAAAGGCTTAATTATATATGATCCCTTATGATCGATCATAAAGCGTAGACAAATTAAATTATAGACTCTCACCTTTTATCTTCGAAAAATCGGTTCAGCAGATGTCGTTTCAAGGGTATGAGTGAGAATATTGAAGTCACCCATTGCTATGAACAATTATTTGATTTGGGAAATTGTTCCATAATAAAAGATAGATGTAAATTACGTGATGACATCAAAAAACGGTAATAATCAATTGAAATTCTTAAAAAAAAAATATGAAAAGTGTTTTCGAAGTCGAGTAGCCGTTGTCTATACACCTAAGTCTGTTTTTACACGGTAGATTGGTTCCAGAAGAAGCCGTGTAAAAAAGACATTGATCTTATACAAAAATGGGTGATTTGTTCCTAATCTCTAAAACCTATTAAAATTAGTGAAAAACAAGAATTTTTATTTTTTTCTTTACCAAACACGTCTTATTGCATTAACAGTTCACAAAATATTAACACGTTTCAATTGCTCTGACCAGTAAATTTTATTGTATGCACATAGTGCTATTCACATTTGCTTTGACCAGTAAAAATTGTTTGTAAAGGGGAATTCACAGCTAGTGTTCGCAAACTATCGATGGTTTCAGACTTTTTTCTTTCATAAATACTTTTTTGTGATATGAACATACTTCGCAAAAATTAAATTTGACAAAAAAATTTAAGTACATAAAATTTCAAATCGTGCTAAATGGAATAAAATCGTGTAAATAAATTAAAAATATTCAATTTTCAAACCGTGTTATATCAAAACCGTGTACAAAAAGACCGTGTAAAAACAGACTTAGGTGTATTTTCATTTGTCGTATATAAATACATGGTAGAAGAATACAAGGTAGTCGCATCGACGCAGTTGCTAAGACAATGAACCAATTTTAAAATTTCTGTCTTATCAATGTTCTTAAGCGTTGATGCATCTACCTGTATTCTTCTACCATGAGTCAATATCTATATGGAGGGCTCACTGCTATACCGAACCAAGTCACGAAAAATAAAAAATGCCGAAATTAGTGCCAATGTCCCCGTATATGGAAACTCTGTTTACTCTGTAAAGCACAATGTCAATAAGTATTTCGTTCAAAAGATAACGGTAAAAAACCTAAGTCAACGACTGTCATTTTCGACTTTTTCAAAGCAAAAATTAACCAAGTCAGTGTGTTTCACTTAGAAGCAGTACTATTAGTGAGCACGTGTTTATTGTCGTTCAGTTTTCAGCGGTTAAAAAAATCAGTGTTTTCTATAAATGATAAAGTCATTTCATATAAACATATCTATCTCTGCATTTTGTGTAATTTACTCTGTCAAATTTCCCTGCCTAGAAAGAAGGTTCCCATCTCTGATTTGTATGTACGATGGATTTATAAATATAGATGTTGTCAAATGCATAACTTTAAATTTTCAAAAAACTAAAATCCATTAAAAATTCTGTTAAAATCTTAAAAATACCGAATGTAGCCGTATATTAGGGTCTATAGGAAGAAGTGGACCTGCACAGGCAATTTTCTGTCATGGGCTGTAGTATTCATTACGAACTTCAAATACTAAATATGAAATAGTTCCGGAAAATAATGTCGCTAAAATCATCAAAATACTGCATATCGGGAGGTACCGTTATATGGGGGCTATACGAAGACGTGGACCTACATGGGCCATATTTAATACCAAAACTCCTGCATACATAAAATACATTGGAGACATTTTTATCAATTTACTTAATTTTGTTCGGAGCTAGAATGATTTCCACAGACTGATAGACGGACGGACACCTAAAAATCACAATGATTGTCAACTACAATAGAAGCACCCGCAGCTGCCAGCCGCCAAACTAAGACATGACTTAAAATAAAACTCCGAAATTAGTGGAGAATTAATCGCTAAAGTCAACTATATTTAATCATACGAACACTTTATTTTATTTGTTTTTTTTTTTTTTTTTTTTTTTTTTTTTTTGACTTGGTTCGGTTTAGCTGTGAAACCTTGAAATTTTATTCAGAGTAATAATGAACCAAAGTAAATTTTTTTTATTTTTTTATAGTAATATATTTAAATTATTTTTATTTTGAATTAATATCGTTAGTTAATTTTGAATATAGACTTTCACATTTTCTTTTGGTAGACTAAAATATTCCTTCCAGAAATTAATGGCAATGCATTCACTTTACCTCTAAATATCTTCGAATTATGTTTTTATGACTTAGTTCGGTATAGCTGTGAGCCCTTCATATAACAGTATATTTACATTAGAACTGTTTGCCGGGTTAATAGCTTTTGTAAGGATTTATTTGATGCTTATGAAATGGAATTGACAATTTAATCCCACCCAATCTACTAAATCCAGTATGCTGCAAAAATACAGAAGTTTTCTTCTGTCACAGTAATGTAGCTATTACTGTAGTTACTCGCCTTTCAATAGAAGAAAAATTATGGTAACGAACTCTGTCATAACCGGAATGCAACAAATATGACTTTACAAATAATATAATTCCTAAGGATATTTCTCGGGGATGAAGATTCCACTCGTAATAACAAAAAGTGGTAATACTGACGAAAAGTCCTCAATATTTCATTGTCACAAAGAGTTTTCTTTCTCTCTTTTTCTACATAAATACACTCTCTCTAAGATATTTCTCACAAAAGAGAACAACAGTGCGTAAATGGAGCATAATAGATTTTAAAACAATTAGAAATCACACAGCAAACATATCCTTATTTAATTATTACTTACAGTTCCCTCGATTGTCGGAGAGAGCGTGCTGCGTGTTTGTTGGTTATGTTTCTTCCTTTTGTTGTTTTCTTATTGTTGTTGTTTTGGTTTGCTTAACTTGTGGGGTTGTTATTATTGTTTTCTATTTTTTCGAACTGTTGACAATTCGTGTTGTTTTTTTGTTCATTTGACGTTGGATGACAGTAGTTTAGTTATGCGCGGTGGTGTTGAATAATGACAAAAAAATGTCAACGACATTTGTGAACGCAAAAACACAGGCAAGCACACGACTACGCGAGCGAACGAACGGACAAGTGAGCACACGAAGAAATGCAACACTGTCTTAGGTTGTTTTCAATAACAGTAGCAGCCGTCGTCGTAACACTAGACGAGTATGCGTGTCCAATACAAACGACAGACGACAATCGAGCATGTTGACATGTTGTGGTTGTTGTTCTTGTTGACTCTCTTCTCGTTGCTGCTGCTGTCAATGGATGGTGATGAGCAAGACCATGTGTGGCAAAGAGTTTGCATATATTTTTCCAAGTTTCGGTGTGTATGGGAAAGAGAATGATTTTCTCGCTGGTGTCTGTGAATGTGTGTGTGAGAGAAAGTGGGAGACGGAATGGTGCATTTGTGAGAGTGTGTGTATTGGTGTTCCGTTTCTTTTATTTTTTGGTTTCGTTTGGAGAAGAGATTGTGTGGAAATGTTGGTGTAATACTTTTTTCCTTTTAGAGAAGGAATTTGTTCTTCTCTGCTTTGCTTCTTCTTCTTCTTCTTAGTTTTTACACTTTTATCGATATGCTTTTCAAAATACAACTAAATGAATTTTTTCAGCTTATGTTTTACGACATTTTTAAATTTTTGACAAATTACTCCTTTCTCTTGAGACACACAGGCGAGATTTTGTCGAACTTAATTATTTTGCTTTACACTAGATATTTTTATTTTAATTTTAATGAATATGCTGCTGCTTCCTCTTCTTTTTGTTGTATTCTTTTTTATAGGTTACATTTAATACTATAAATGCAATTATTTTTTGTATTTCTTAGCTTTGTTTTGGACTACTAACTACTGGATATTGGAGGTTTGCTTTAAATTTGTTTGGATATATTTTTGTTGTTGCTGCTTCTTTTGTTTTATTAATTTATCTACAGAACAATATACACACCCGCAAAGAGTGAGAGTGGAGACTGTGGAATATTATTTCACATTCACTGGACACTTATAAATTGTTTAGCAAACTTTTGAGTTCTGCTTGGAGCTTTTCTCAAGATTTCATTCTGGAATTTGCAGATTTTCACACACCATTCCTTTTTTTGTAATCAATGGAATTCGTTCATTCTGCTGTCTCCCAACGAAAATCAGTATACCAAGCGCCTTCAAAATCCGTACTACAATAAATGTTCTGCTGCTCCGCCTCGTTTCCGTTCCATACTTGAATCATTTACCAGCAGCTACTGTGGCATATACACACACGCGTATTTTATTGGGAACCCAACCAACCGACAAACGAACGAACGAACGTACGAAAAAAAATCCATCCAAGCAAGTGTGCCAATATTCCTGTTATGGTGGGGCCATAAACCTCAATTGTGACGAGGAACGAAGAAAAAAAAACTATTAACTAACTAGACACCACTCATTTATGGAGCTTTTTGTGAATTTTGCACTTTTTCTTCTTAAAATCTTCTGTGTGTAGACTAAATTTCCTTTAAATATTTTACGGTTTTTTTCTCGTTTCTACTTTTTTCACACTTGTATATCACTTTTTTTCTAAACTTGTAAACTTTCTTTTTGTTTCATCTACGACTTCACTAAATATACAAATGAATTATTTTACACAATAATTTTCACTTTTTCTCAATTGGTCACATTTGCTTCTATGTGTGTTTTTCCTTTTTTCCAATTAGAAAAAAATTCTTTTAGTTGAATGCGAAAAAACCCCAAAAGTGGGTCATCTTCGGTCGTTCGGTTCGGTCTACTTGTATTTTTCATCTACACTAGCCAGCACACACAGCAATCGATTTTTGCTGTATATGCCTTACATTTTGGTAGCAAGCAGCGTTCTCTCGCTCTGTCTCTCTAAAATACACACGGTGGGCCACTGTTAATGTAACTGTTATTGATAACGGTACAATGGGACATGGAAAAGAGAGCGGCGTTGTTACTCTTAAATGTGTCAATGGAACAGTTCCGTTGGGTATTTCACATCCGTTTTGTTTCACACATGTGAAAAGTGTTGCCTACCTTAAGGCGTTAAATTGTAAAGTAATTATATGTCAATTTGTGCTAGTGGCAAACAGTGGGGGCAACAATAATTGTTTTAGTACACAATTTGAAAAAACGTATACGTCTAGTAAGTCCTCGTAAAGGAGGTTTACCCGACACAAAGCTCTCATGTAAACATACTATTATATTGCAATACAATATATTAATAAAGACCCTTGGTCGAAATTCTTAAATGGTGGTTATTTTGCACAATTTTTGAGAGTACATAAGATCTATAGTTGAAATACTTTTTGAAGGACTAAACATTAATTAATAGAAAGGAATAATTTGGCAAAAATTGAGGACCACCAGACCTGTAATCTTTGATTTATTTAGACTATTTTCTTGGCTGATATTAATTAATAACATCTAACTGCATCAATACAGAGGAGTTAGGTGATTAACTGACTAATTCTTGGTGCGGAGGGCAAAAGAGACAGAAATTCTTGAAATTCGTACTTTAAGAGCACAAAAGTGCTAAAAGTTGTAGCATTTTGAACTTTTTAGTAAACTTCCATGCAGGCGACGGAAATAAGTAGGTTTCATGGGTATTGGTACTTTAATGTTGCAAAAAGTAATAAATGGAAAAACCCAATTCCTAGCTAGAGAACCTAGGCGAAATAACGATTTTAGACCCTATGTCTCTTTGAAACAAATCCGTTTCAGGACATTCTGCCTGATGCGCACGATAACTTTTGAAGAGAGTATCCGATTTGGTCCAAACTAGATACATCTTAGTATTATTATCAAACTTAGATCGAGTTCAGAAATGGGCAACATCGGTCCACTCCTTCTGGTACCTCCCCAAAAAAAGGTTGAAATTTTCAAAAAAAAATACTGCACAGAGAGAGAAAATATAATCCGAGGTTGCTCCAACTTTGCAAATCCCAATATTTGCATCAGTGCTAGATCGGGTGGGAAAATGGACAATGTCTGTCCACTCCATCAAGTACCTCCCACACAAAGGGTCGAAATTTGGAATAATGATAACTCTTATAAAATGTGTTGTAAGTGCGTGATTCTCTTCAAATCAAACACATCACAATATTTTTATTAACCCAAGGTCTGGTGTGAAGATGGAATATATCGGTCCACTCCTTTTGATTGCTGCTCCACAAAAGGTCAAAATGTTGAATATACGATTCCATTCAGACTTGGCACATCTCAATATTTCCATAAACACAAGATCTGTTGTAAAGATGATAGAGATCGGACCATTCCTTGTGGCACCTCCCCCACAAAGGGTCAAAGTTTTAAATAACCAAAACGATCATAATATCCGAAATAAGCATCCAGTTCTATTCAAATTACAAACATCACAATATTTTTATTATCCCAAGGTCCTGTTCAGACTTGATACATCTCAATATTTCCACAAACACAAGATCAGTTATAAAGATAGTGGAGATCGGAACACTCCTTCTGGTAACACCCCCCCCCCCCCCCCTCAAAAAAAAAAAACAAAACGCTCAAAGAAAGAGAAATAAGCATCCAACTCTCTTCAAATTTCACACATACAAACATTTTGCAAACACAAGATCTGTTGTGAAGATAATGTATATCTGCCAATCCCTTCTGGTTCCTCACCCATAAAGCGTCACAATTTTCAATATTTTTATTTGTCATAACTTGCGAAACAAGTCAAGCGGTTCTTTACAACTTGCTATATCTAAATATTTCTCTCAACCAGCAACCTGAGATGAACCTGGAATTTATGGTTTCGCATAAAATTGTATATATATGCTCGATTTTCTTGTAATTTCCCCATACCAATCTGTATTAGACGAAGCATGGAAATGGTACCACTTATCGCATATAAAGTGAAGGAAGTAAACAATAAAGTTCAAATTTGGGACGTCGGAATTTTTATATCATATTTATTTGGATCCGATACGAAATGGACAATAATGACCCGTTCCTTTGGAACCTACTCCATAGAGGGTGAACAATTTGAATAATCAAATAAAATCAACAAGTTAAAAAGTATCAATCGGTTTATCCGATAGATGTATACTCTCAGCCAATGTTCGATTATTTATAGATATTTGAACTTCTGTTATGATTATTCAAATTGTAGACCCTCTATGGAGTAGGTTCCGAAGGAATGGGCCAATATTGTCCATTTCGTATCGGACCTAAATAAATATGAACTATATCGACTACCTCTTTCACTTTATATGAGATATGTGATAATTTTTATAAGATGTCAAAATGTGCGTGAGGTACGAGATGTAGTCGACGGAAGTATTCCATTTTCATACTTCACTTAATACAGATAAAAACATTGGTACGGGCAAATTTACAAGAAAATCGAATATTTATATCCAATTTTATGCCAAATCGAGAAATACATATTCATCTCAGGTTTCTGGTTGAAAGAAATATTTTATTCAAAACATTGGCCCTTTGTGGGGGAGGTACCAGAAGGAATGGTCCGATCTCTACCATCTTTATAACAGATCTTGAATCAGATGTTAAATTCTCGTTTTATGAGCTTCATGGAGCATGGAGCTTCATTCAAAATGTTGATTCTTTTGTGATGAGGTACCAGACGGAGTGGGACAATATATCCCACCTTCACAGCAGATCTTGTGTTAGTAGAAATAATGAGATGTGTGAAATATGGAGAGAACCGGATGGTTATTTCGAATTTTATAATCGTTTTGGTTATTCAAGTTTTGACCGGTTGTGGGGGAGGTACCAAAAGGACTATCTTCACACCAGACCTTGGGTTAATACAAATATTGTGATGTGTGTAATTTGAAGACTGTCGGGCTCTTACATCACATTTTGTAAGATTTAAAATTAGTCAAAATGTTGACCCTTTTGAGCAATTGTGGGGGAGGTATCAGAAGGAGTGGATCGAAGTATTTCATCTTGGCACCAGACCTTGGGTTAATAAAATTATTGGGATGTGTAAAATTTGAAGACAATGGGATTCTTACATCACATTTTAAAAGAGTTGTAATTATTTAAAATTTTGACCCTTTGTGGGGGAGGTACTTGATGGATTCTCCATTTGCTCACCCGACGTAGCACTGACACAAATATTAGGATTTGCAAAGTTGGAGCAAAATCGGATTATCGTTTCTCTCTCTGTGCAAAAATTATTTTTTTGAAAATTTAGACCTTTTGTGGGGAAGGTACCAGAAGGAGTGGACTGTATATCAAATCTTAACCCCAGACCTTGGGTTGATAAAAAATATTGGGATGTGTGAAATTTGAAGACAATCGGACTCTTACGTCACATTTCATAAGAACATTTCACATAAGATTTTTGGGGAGGTACTTGATGGAATTTGACCGTTACCAGAAAGAGTGGACAGATATTGCCCATCTCCGAACTCGTTCTAAGTTTGACAAAAAATATTACGATGTTTCAAGTTTGGTCAAAATCGGATACTCCCTTCGAGAGTTACCGCGCGCACCAGCCAGACAGACAGACGAACGGACATCGCTAGATCGACTCCAAATGTCCTGAAACGGATTTGGTCTAAAGCAGGGCAAGGCAGAGAGCCTCAAAAATTTTTTGTGATTGTATGTGTTTTAAAATAACAAAATATTGCAACTGTTTTTGTTGCCTCTCTTTACAGAGTGAGAAATAATTGGTTATCTTTAAATTTTCAATTTATTTTTTTTTTTTTTTTTTTAAAAAACAACTTCGTTGTTAAAAATTAATATTTTGATCAGACAATTCGGAGATATATTTGCACAGTTATTTTCATTATGTTTCATTTTGAAACCAAAAAAAAATATAAGTTGACATTTTCAAAAATTTTATATAATTTTTATTAAAAAAAAATTATTAAACACAAATAATAATTTCGGACTTAACATCCTAACCATCTAAGTTTATCCTTTAAAAATTAATACCGATTACCAACAGGCTGACATAAGCAAATAGTTGTAGAACTTTTTGCTGATCAGAAACCCATATCCTGCGTTGAGTCCTAAAATATTATGTCTATGAATTACAAACAGAATGACAAACATCACATCCTGTTATTTTCCCTAATATTGACTAAGAACGTACATATAATTTCAGAGATATGAAAATGTCCATTAATTTGGAAGGACAATAAATTTGTCTAACAATATGAAATAAAATTCTATTCTTAACATGTGAATTCGTATGCAAATTTTGTCAAATAGAATTCAACCAAAAAAGATAAATCTTAAAATTTATAATTTTTACAAATTCGGAAATATTTCTTCCGAATATGTAGTAAGATATATTTGTGCTCCAATATTTCTTACGGTGTATTCATAAAAATATCCGACAGCACCTTCCTCAACGACTGCTCGGACAAAACTAAATATTCTCCCAAAACCATTTTGACAGAAAATTCAAAACAATTTATTTTTACAATTGTGTTGGTGAACACACAGATATCCCAAGGGATACTCTTTGCCTAGCCCTGGTCTAAAGCAAGGCTAGGCAAAGAGTATCCCTTGGGATATCTGTGTGTTCACCAACACAATTGTAAAAAATAAATTGTTTTGAATTTTTTGTTGTTGCTCAAACAAGCAAGCCAAACACTGTTTTGAATTTTCTGTCAAAATAGTTTTGGGAGAATATTTAGTTTTGTTCGAGCAGTCGTTGAGGAAGGTGCTGTCGGATATTTTTATGAATACACCGTAAGAAATATGGGAGCACAAATATATCGTACTTCATATTCGGAACAAATATTTCCGA